ATTATACGAGCTCCTATCAACAACAAAAGCAAGTAAGAACACGATTAGACGATATATTAGTAAAATCAAATCGGAATTTCTTATAATAGAAAAATTACTAAACAAATTGAAAGAAATGTTTATATTCGAGAGCATACCAGAATCGGAAACAGAGGTAGAAAAAATAGAAAGAGAAATTGATGAAATAGGCAATCAGGTGGATGTCATTATAGAAGCTGCGGAAACGCATTTAAAAGAAAGATTGGAAGGGGGCGAATTGGAATCAATAGCTCCATCAGGCTCAACCCATTCCGAGTATGAAATACAACAATCAGAGATAGAGGCAGCAAACAAAAGAGTCTTAACATTACAAACAGAGGAAAACCAAAAAGAAGAAGAGCTTCAAAGGAAAGCTGTAGAACTTGAACTTGCAAAACAAAGAACAGATGAGGCACGTAAGATTGTTTGTATTATTGATGCTAGATCTCATAATACCACCCCCAAAACAGCGCATGACTCTGATGAAACATGTTCCCACAGTCAATTACCACAACAGGTACCAGGTCCTAGTACCCCCCTGAATGAGATGGACCCTAATCAGTTTACACCACAACAAACCCTATACCCTAGTACCCCTCCACCTGAGACACACCTTAGTCACCTCCAACCACAACAAACCCTATACCCTAGTACCCCTCCACCTGAGACACACCTTAGTCACCTCCAACCACAACAAACCCTATACCCTAGTACCCCTCCACCTGAGACACACCTTAGTCACCTCCAACCACAACAAACCCTATACCCTAGTACCCTCCACCTGCGACACACCCTGGTCACCTCCAACCACAACAAATCCTAGATCCAAGTGCCACAGCATTTACTTCATCCCAGTCCCCGCAACGACCCATCCCAGATCCTGACCTAAGTGATGGTTTTTCCTCTCAAGGTCATCCTGCCCAGTTTCCATGGCAACAAACCTCCAAACCTGTTCTGAATAGATATAACCCTAACACATACCAGCTACATACCCAGTTACCACCACCTGTTCTTGACAGCATGAGTAGATATATTCCGAGACAACAATCACGTATCCCTTATACCTGGCAACCATCACCAGCAGCACCAAGTTCAAAAACCCCAACTTCACACAGGGTGGGGCCCATTAAATTAAAAGGTGTGGACTTACCAACATTTGATGGGGAAGACAAAGTAGAATACGAACAGTGGAAAGCTGCGTTCACATCTGCTGTTGACTATGCAGACATACCAGTTAACAAGAAAATGTTGAGACTGTAAAACAGTTTGAAAGGAAAAGCACTTAAATTGGTTAAAGATCTAGGATTTTCCTCTAATGCTTATGAGAGAGCTAAACAAAAATTAGAAAAGAAATATGGAGGTCAGAGGCGACTTCAAATTAAGACATTGACCGCATTGAAGAATTGGAAAAAGGTACAATCCAAAAATTTAAGTGACTTGGAAGAATTTTTGACTGTGTTGGACAGGACTTTGATAACTTTGAAGGACACCTGTGAGAAACAAGGAGATCTTTTCGGTCAGAGTTTGAATCTGATAAGTAAAGAAAAATTACCAGAAGAAGATGTACAATGTTATAAGTCATGGTTGATAGAGCACTCGAAAGAGGATACTTTTGAGACACTTGTTGAGTGGGTAGAGCTAAGAGTACAGATAATGGAAGAAGCTAAAGAAGAAACAAAAGGCCTGGGAACTAGTAAAGAGAGAAATGGTGACCAAAGGATAAACCGTGTAAGAAGAGAAAGAGGTTTCAACACAATGTCTAAAGGCAATCTCAAGTGCGTTGTGCATACATGCAAGAACAACCATCCTCCCTGGACCTGTGATGCCTTTAAAGCATTATCAGTATCAAATCGAAAAGCATCGATAGAGAAATCGAGACGGTGTTACCGATGCCTGGGTGTTGGACACAAAGCAATTGAATGTACTCGAGCAAGACGGTGTGGCGTCGACGGCTGTGATAGTACCCAGCACAATAGATTACTTCATACCCCACGTAGACTAGACCAGAACTGTCAAACTGGTTCTCATTCGGTTACCCCACAACAGGCGATGAAAGACTCCAGCCAGCAAACCAGGAGCAGATTATCAGATGATAAGGACAGTGCACAATAATCAGGAGCAGGTGAAAATACGGCTGATACTAGAGCTTATGTCACTCACCGCACTGACCACATATCGCTAATGGTGTTACCAGCTGTTATCAAGAATGATAAGAAAGAACTGAAGGTTAACGTTATGTTAGACCCTTGTTCCACCAGTTCATATGTGACTGAAGCTGCTGCCGAAGAATTACAATTGAACGGAGAAACGCATGAACTGACAATCTCGGGTACTGGTGGATCCCAAGTTAAAAAACAGTCTAAACAAGTAAACTTGGTTGTCACAAGCTTAAACAGAAACTTTTCAGAGAATTTATCTGCTAATGTCCTGGACAATATAACTGGAGACACACCCGCTTTTAACTGGGCAGACTTGAAAGCAAAGTGGCCCCATTTGGCTTCCATTTCCTTTGAGCAAACTTCAAGACGAAAGCAGATAGATGTGTTGATAGGCAGCGATCACCCATTGTCTCACCATGTTCTGAAGGAAGTGCACGGTAGTAAAACTACAGACCCAATAGCAAGACTTACCAATTTAGGTTGGCTTTGCTTTGGGCCTACCATCGTTGAGGAACAACGGCGTAAATCGCATTCATATTTTACGCGTACTTACCGTTCAAGCCAGGTTGAGCAGCCAACCGTCCAGCAACAACACCACCAGGTCCGACAATTCTGGGAGCTTGAAGCTCTGGGAATCAAGGACACTGACGACAGAACCTTTGACGAGAAAGAAACAGAGAGTACAATTTATGACAAGGGAAGATATTCTGTGGGAATCCCTTATTAATGCCATATCATAGTTATTTTTCAAGTTTGGTTCTTCTTTCTTCCAATTGGAAGAAAGAAGAACCAAACTTGAAAAATAACTATGATATGGCATTAATAAGACTTAAGAGTCAGGAGAAAGCAAGCGCTCAAAAGAAAAGGCTCCGAAGCAACGCACACATATAACAAGATAATTGAAGATTACGAGAAGAAGGGTTATGTGAAGAAGATAGAAAAGACCAATGAAATAAACCAATGGTTTTTGCCACATTTTGCTGTAATCAAGGAAGAAAGAACCACTACAAAGACACGAATTGTATTTGATGCTGCAGCAAAAGATCGTGGCAAAAGTTTAAATGACGCAATTCGAGCTGGTCCTAAGCTTCAAAAGGACTTATTGAACGTTCTGATACGATTCAGACGCTCCCCTATCGCCTTATCAGGAGATATTTCAGAGATGTTCTTACAAGTAGGCTTGTTGAAAGATGATCGCGCTTATCATCGATTTCTTTGGCGTAATTTAGACGCATCCCGAGAACCTGATGTGTACGAATTCCAACGGCTAGTGTTTGGCAACACAGCGTCACCATTTTGTGCACAATTCATCGTCCAGAAACATGCGAAGGATAAAGCAGAACACTATCCCGAAGCTGCAGACACGGTTAGCAACTCCATGTACGTAGACGACGTTCTCGATTCATGCGAGACTTCCAAAGATGCCATAGAATTAAGGAGACAACTTTCAGAGTTGTTGAATTCGGCGAGTTTCCGACTTCGAAAGTGGTCATCGAATGACAAGTCAGTACTAGAAGATGTGCCAGAGGAAGATCGACAACCCGGATTAGAGATACGCGAAGGTGGACGTCCAACAGGAAAAGTGAAGACCCTCGGAGTGACATGGAAATCCGAAAACGATGTATTCACCTTCAACGTCGAAATACCAGAGATCAAGGAGATAACCACGAAGAGAGAAGTATTAAGCGCAATTTCAACTCTGTTTGATCCTCTTCAATTTCTTTCACCCTTTACAGTAAGAGCCAAAATCCTTATGCAGGACATATGGACTGCTGGGCTAGATTGGGATGATCCACTACCGAGGACCCTATTAGACCGTTGGCATAACTGGGTGAACGAGTTACAACACCTTTCCTCCTTTGAGATTCCACGATGTTTGCGACATCCCTCCCCTGATGAAATAGAATTACATATGTTCTCTGATGCTTCGAAGGATGCCTATGCAGCTTGTGCTTATCTAGTTTGTCGTTATGAAGGAAACACACCAACATCAGTATTGATTGCATCGAAGAGTCGAGTTGCACCAGTTAAATCGATGACTATTCCTAGACTTGAGTTGATGGGAGCGGTTATTTCAACTCGTTTGGCAAATACCATACTCAAGTCAATTGTAGTATCCAAAGTGATTTACTGGACAGATTCTACGAACGTTCTATATTGGGTGAGAAACCAGAGTCGCAATTTCAAAACCTTCATCGCCAACAGAATCGGGGAAATCCAAAATTCGACAAACCCAGAACAGTGGAGACATGTCCCGGGAGAACTCAACCCCGCTGATTTGGCAACTCGAGGAATAAAGGTTTCTGAGCTAGCATAGAGCAGAGTATGGAAAGAAGGACCACAGTTCGTTTTAGAAAATGAGACAAATTGGCCTGCACGCGTACCTGGAATGGATACATTATCAAGTGACACGAAAGAAGAGTGTAAAATGGTGCGAACAAATGCCACTCAAGCATTGGACAGTAACGAATTGAATCCACAGAACTTTTCAGATTTCAGACGACTTGTTCGCGTAACAGCATGGGTACGGCGTTTTACGAGCAACTGCAAATGTCGACCACAGCAAAGAGATCTAAGCAAAAGTTTATCGATTGAAGAAGTAAAGAAAGCAGAATTTTATTGGTTCAAACGTGCACAAACAGAAAGGTTTCAAGACACTAAAGGACGGAAAAGTCTGGAGAACTTGAATCCCATGAAAGACGAGGATGGACTTCTTCGTATGGACGGACGCTTACGTCATGCAGACATACCGTACGAAAGTAAACATCCATTGATTTTACCCAAAGAACACCCTATCACGGAACTTGTAGAAAAGCGGTTCATGAACAACTCGGACATGGTTCTGGAGTAGAACACACTCTTTCCGAATTACGTAGTAGGTTTTGGGTGATAAGAGGACGGGCTGTAGTACGTAAAATTCTTAATCATTGCCAAGTGTGTAAGAAACGCTTTACTGCTAAACCTATTGGTCAAATGATGGCACCGCTGCCGAGACCAAGAGTAATTTCATCGATGAAAGCCTTCTGTCGAGTAGGAGTAGACTACGGAGGCCCATACCTGACAAAACAAGGTCGCGGCAAGAGTAGAGCAAAAAGATATCTCTGTTTATTTACTTGTCTCGTGACACGCGCGGTACATTTGGAAATGGCCTATGCATTAGACACAGATTCGTTTATGAATGCATTCGCCCGGATGGTGTCACGGAGGGGGATGCCTTCGTACGTTGTATCAGATAACGGTACCAACTTCGTTTCAGGAGAACGAGAACTGAGAGAACTTGTTGAACAATTAGACCAAGAGAAGATTGTTCGGGACAGTTCGCGATTCTCTCACATCGAATGGCATTTCAACCCTCCAGCTAGCCCACATTTCGGGGGAGTATTTGAAGCCATGATAAAAAGTGCCAAGAAAGCTATAAAGAGCATCTTAGGAAATGCGGACGTCTCCGATGAAGAGCTAAATACAGCCATTTGTGGGGCGGAGAAGTTATTGAACTCGAGGCCTATCACGTACGTAAGTTCGGATTCCAACGACTTATGTCCTCTCACTCCCAATCATTTCATCCACGGACAGCTTGGAGGAACATTTGCGGTGGAGGCAACTGAGGAAGAAACGTTCAACCCCCGCAAAAGATGGCATCGTGTTCAACAACTAATCGGTCAAGTTTGGAAACGTTGGAGAAGGGAATTGCTCCCGACTTTAAATCGTAGAAAGAAGTGGTTTCATCCCACACGTAATATGAAGGAAGGAGATATTGTTTTAATGATTGAGCCAAATGCAAATCGCTGTGACTGGCCGTTGGGACGTATTACTGAGACTTTTCCTGGGAACGATGGCTTGGTGCGAGTGGTCAGAGTTAAAGCTAAAGGAAAGGAGTATTTGCGACCGGTTCATAGATTATGCCCTCTTGAGTACGTTTAGTAATAAACCCGAGATATGGAGGAGATTGTACAGAATTACCTGCGAAAGAAACGGACAGTTATGAAACTAAACTGACAACATAATTTCATATTAGCGGAGTTAGTTACTCCTAGTTTTGTTAAAGTTTTACGAATGTTAGACTATCTTGAATGTTACACATTCGGGAGGGGGATGTTACGAACAGATTACTATAGATAAGATGAAGTAGTTATAGTTTCCCGCCATATATCGCGGGCGGGGACATGGGGAAAATAGATTTTATACTTTTATATTCTAACCGAGTTGGCGGTTAAAAATTCAATAAATTTGTCATAAAAATAGAGATTTTGAGTTAAACTAGGCAAGAACCAGCAGATCAAACTACGTTCTCAAGTTGGTGAGAACAAAATCAAAATTTAGTCTGTAATACAAATGGTCAATTGAGAGTTGAGAATCTCTTATGCAAAGTCTCGCTTCTTAATTTAACTCTCATCATTCTCGTTTGACCAGAGCTTACGTAAGATAAACTTTTGCTATGCATATGTGCGCGTGCGTGCGTGCGTGCGTGCGTGTGTGCGTGCGTGTGCCTGTCTGTGTTTGTCTGCCAACACGATAACTTAATTTGTGGGACTAACGGACATTGCCCAAAGACTAATTTTAGATTTTGATTAAATTTGGATGAGAATTTAGCAAAAGTTGGTCTTTTTTTGCGGGTACAGCAAACTGAATGCGTAATTAGCCCATTGAATAATTTATGCATGATATATCACGTAATTCGCTGGCAGAGGTATGCGGTCTCCAAGTGCCCTATAGTTTACTCTGCATCGTCTGAAACTGACGCATTCAGAAACGCATATCTAACGCTTTCTGTTTTCTTTTCTCACAGTACACGTTGTCCAATCTGTCGTGAGAGTTTTGCTCACAAACTTGAACGACGACCGCTGCCAAATTCACGAAAACGTTCTGGAAAATAAGCTGGACGGATAGGCCTAATGAGCTTCTAAGACTTTCATGGATATGACAAGGTTCTTTGTTGGCACCCATGAATTTCTAAGCGAGCTCGGCGATTCATCCAGTTACGTAAGTATTTTTTTGTTTTACCTGAAGTAATATATCAAATCCGACTATGAGGACTTTATTACTGGATATCCGACAAATGAACTCTGACAACACCATCATTTAACACAGCACGAGTGACGTATCGCGCACCCCCAGAGCATGCCTGTTGGCAGGTTCCACGGCCCTTAACCTGCGAACGGGCATGCATTGGGCAGTGAGCTCCACATATATCTGGAGCGAGGACTTCAGTCATTCGGTCAATGAGAAAAGTGAAGACAAGATGGCGGCCATTGACGTCCAATAGCTGTGAAGGTCGCAAAAAACTTTTATACCATTTTCCCCAACTAATTCCATTTTTTTCTAACGGACCATATCGCTAACTGAGTTATCAGCTCATAAAACCGTAGTGTTATTCTTTAAATCGATGTAAAAATACTAAATTTCGGCACACTCCTTGCCAAGATTGCGGAAATTGAAGCCTTTATTGGACTGATTTTGACTGCACAGTTAACATGAAGCTGGCTTCAGTGTTTGGACTCGAGTTCACGCTCCAGATATAGATGGAGCCCTCCGGGTACGTTGTTCAGTCAAATACTTTAATTAACTCATATGAAAAGCGATTGGACGAAGTTTAAAACCATGTTATCCAATAACTCGAGCTTTATAAAATGTACAAAAACATGCTCGTGAGGAACTTAAACATGTCGTCGTGATTGGTAAACGACTGGATATCCGATATCTGGATACCCGTCTGCTCAAAGCGACAGCTCTCGTCATCTCTCCGTCTCTGTGCAAGCTATTCAATAAATCGTTGGATCAAGGTGTCCCACCGGAGGAGTGGAAATTGGCAAACATCGTTCCAGTGCATAAAAAAGGCAACAGAGATAAAACTATAGACAAAAATCTCGCTACTTCCAATCGTCTCAAAAGTCTTTGGAACGCTGCGTTTTCTATAAAGACTACCTTTTCATCTAGTACGGAAATCACAGCATGGATTCATTTCAGGGATATGTCCAAAGCTTTTGACAAAGTCAATCACGAGTGCCTCGCACACAAATTGAGTTATATTGCTGGATTTGAATTAGGTAGACTTCTTTAATGGTTTCAGTCCTACTTAACGAATCGTAGCCAACGTGTGACTGTCCTTGGTGCCATGCACCTCTAACACCCTCCCAGTTACTTCAGGCGCACCTCAAGCCTCCACCCTCGGCTTCGTCCTTTTCGTCTTGTACGTCAACGACCTTCCCGATGCAGTCATATCTAGCTAAGTTGCAATGTTCGCCAATGATAACAAAATATTTACCCCCGCGTCAAAACAGACGAGACGACTGTGAACGCCTCCAAAGTGATCTCGACAACCTGCAAACTTGGTCATCAATGTCTGGCCTCCCTTTCAACGATACGATATGTAAAGTCCATCAAATCACGAGGAAAAGCATGTAGAGGACAGACTTACGTGGCATAAACAAGTTAACGAACAATCGGTGAAAGCAAACCAACTACCAGGATACATCCGAGGATCTACCTTATATATCCACAACACACCGGCAACCTGCCCTTGTACGACCACACCTAGGTTATGCAACACAAATATGGGCTCCACAGTCAGTTAAACTAAATTCATCCTCGAGTTACCGTTTTCCTGCATTATGGACTATACTACCAGCCTCCAGTCCTTATCGCTCCTACCCATTTGTTATTGACACGAATACTTGGACATGGTTCTCTTTTACAAGATAACTCATGGACTAGTAAACGTATAAATGCTTCTCTCCTTCCAACAATCCGTACCTCCAGACAAACTAGATCTTCGACCAGTGCTTCCACCAAATTCATTATTCCAAAATGTACATAAGACATCCATCCATCAAAGATCCTTCTTTATTCGATCAACTCGCATCTGGAATCTTCTCGCTGATGAGCTAAAACTGGACACATTTAGCTTTTCCACATTTAAAACAGTCATTTTTAATTATTAGTTTATTACAGTAGATCATTAGGGACTTGTTATAATGTTGACGATCTTCGTTCGTATAAAACCATTTATCCAAAGTGTAACTCTGTTCGTAGTCTCCTCATTCCAATCTCATGCTGCGTGTAGAAGTTGTACTGTTGTTATTTTTCATTTGTTTATGTTGTTAACGTTATTGTATTTGCATGTAATTGTTAATGTTAGTCTAACGGGGCCAGTCATTAATTGTAAAATAACAAGGCAAAGCTAATAAATTAACTTAATGTCCGAATGTATCACCACTAAAGTGAGGTCAATGAATTTTGATCCAGTCCTAGGAATGCATGTATTGATTTTGAGTATAACTTATATTCGGGTAAAACAAACCCCTCTTGGTCAACAAGGGCCAAGGCATGTAGAACATAAATATAAGCATTTTTTAAATATAAGCATCTGTATTAGTAAATTTATTTATCCCTCGTTTCATTTATTTAGATCCAGACGTTTGAAGATAACCTATACTTTTCATATTTTGAATATATAATTTTAATTAGGATATGTAGTGTAGAAAAATGTGTCGAAAACTTATTTACTGCAGGGCTGCTTATACGAAACCTCGAATATATTATGACGGGTTAAGCTACATTAAGTAAATTCTTTCGAAATATTGCAATTCAAGTCACATAGAATACATGACAGCAAATAGTTTCGTTATTCACATCATTTCGTATAAATATACCTTACTAGACTGCATTTATGTTGGAAAGAAAAACGACCCATTATGTTTGAATTTGGCTGTCCATATGAACTACTACTCATTGTGAGGGCGTGTTTTTTGAAGATGTTTTGCGCAATTGAGCGTTTGTTTAATTGATAAAATAAGAAATGAGTTGAACTCCGAAGGAAATCTAAGGCCTCTTTTCAGAGTACCAGAAATGCAAACAAATTTACTATTTGCGGTTTAAAACGTCGAAAATTGTTTTATACAATTTTTGTTTTGTTCGAAGTTTTGTTAAAGCTCTAAAATAAACTAGGCGGGTTACGTAGAGGATCTTAAAAAATGGCTGGCAAGGCCGAAGAAATGTGAAATGCAAGACATTTCACATTTTGAGTCTTGCATGTGCATGATTGGCTATTTGTAAAATTGCTATTTGTCAACCTGCAGGTTTGGGAATTAGACATGTTTAATAGCTATACAGTAGCATGCCAAATGTAGTAAATGGAAGTGGTGTTCGCAATCGATTTGCCACATCGGCTTCCCTTTCGCCTTGCCGTTTTAGTTTTCCTCTGAAATCTGCTATGGTTTAGTTGAGCGGCAAAATTTGCTTAGTGAACTAAATGATTAGTCTAGATTAGTTAATTATCAGTTAGTTAACTAATAAGATGGGAAATAGTTGAATGTATATTTATAATGTAAAACTTAAATACATTAAAATTTGTCATGAACTTGTGTTGTTCTTCACTTAATATATTTACAAGTCACCCTCCGGAAAT